AGTGGCACAATCTTGGCTGACTGTAAAAACTCCACTTCCTGGGTTTAAGCAATTCTCCTTCCTCAGCCTCCTGAGTTGCTGGCATTACAGGAACTCGCCACAATGACCGGCTAATTTTTGTATTTTTTAGTAGAGACAGAATTTCACCATGTGGGCTAGGCTGGTCTCAGACTCCTGACCTCAGATGATCCACCTGCCTCAGCCTCCCAAAGTGCTGGGATTACAAGTGTGAACCACCCCACCCCCCAAAAAATGGCTATCTTTGCATTAGCATTTAAAAGCTGAAATCCAGGTATCTTTTATTTCCATTTTAAGTGGATTTTAATAAAAGTATAACATATGAAGGAAAATGTGCAAATCATGGCAGAACAGCTCAATGAAATTCATTGGAGTAAACACAGACTGAGAAACAGAAGATGACCCAGTGGCCTCCCTTGTGCCTCCTTCTAGTCATAATGGATCCTTTCCTCCTGTAAGAGTAACTCTGAACTTTACAGAAATGGAATCATACCTCATCCCTAATAACTCCATTCTACTTTGTCTCTATGAATTTGCCCATTCTATGTACCCCACAGGTCAAATTATACAATATTTCTCATTTTTTGTCTGGCTTATTTCACTTACCACAGTGTCTTCAAGGTTCATCCATGTTGTAGCATATACCAGACAGAATTTCATTCCTTTTTAGGGCTGAATAATATTCCTTTGTGACCTATCTACCCATCTATTTACAGCACATTTTGTTTATCCATTCATCTGTAATGGACATGTAGATTTTTTCAACCTTTTGAATGTTGTAAATAGTGCTGCTACGAAAACTGGTGTACAAATATCTGTGTCCCTGCTTTGAACTCTTTTGTATATACACACAGAAGTGGCACTGCTAGATCAAATGGTAATTCTATAATTTTTCGAGGAACTACCATACTATTTCCCATATTTTAAAAATTTCATTATAAGCATCCTCATGGATATGAAGTAGTATCTGATGATAGTTTTAATTCACCAAAAATTGAATGACTGAAGAGAAACCAACTCTAGCTGACTGAAACTACCAATTGGTAAATGTAAATTCTTATTTGAGTTGTAAAAATTCTTTATATGAGGCTGGGTGTGGTGGCTTAAGCCTATAATCCCAGCACCTTGGGAGGCCGAGGCAGGCGGATCACTAGGTCAAGAGATCGAGACTATCCTGGCCAACATGGTGAATCCCTGTCTCTACAAAAAAAAAAAATACAAAAATTAGCTGGGCGTGGTGACACGTGCCTGTTGTCCCAGCTACTTGGGAGGCTGAGGCAGGAGCACTGCTAAAACCTGGGAGGTGGAGGTTACAGTGAGCCAAGCTCGCACCACTGCACCACAGCCTGGTGCCTGGCGACAGTGAGACTCTGTCTCAAAAAAAAAAAAAAAAAAAAGAATTATTTATATTTTCTGGATACTAATCTCTAGGTACCATCTGTGGGTTGTCTTTTCACTTTCTAGTTTTTTTGTTTTGTTTTTTTTGAGACAGGGTCTCACACTATCTCCCAGAGAGTAGAGTGACCCTATCTTGGCTCACTGCAATCTCCACCTCCCAGGCTCAGGTGATTCTCCTGCCTCAGCCTCCTGAGTAGCTGGGATAAGAGGCATGCACAACCACACCTGGCTAATTTTTGTATTTTTAGTAGAGATGGGGTTTCACCATGTTGGCCAGGCTGGTCTCAAATAACCGACCTCAAATAATCCACATGCTTCGGCCTTCCAAAGTGCTGGGATTACAGGCATGAGCCACTGCATCCGGCTGTCTTCACTTTCTTCATAACATTTATAATGCAAAAGTTTTTAGTTTCAATGGAGCCCAATTTGGGTTTATCTCAGGAATACTAGGGTGGTGCAATGTAAGATAAGCATCCAGTGTAATATATAAAAATAAAATAAAAAGAAAAACACATCATCTAAATACACACAGATAAAACACTGGGCAAAACTCAACATCATTTCACAATAAAACACTCAGCAAACTAAGAACAGAAAAAAACTTCTTTAATACGATAAAGGGCATTTATTTAAAAATCCACAGCAGGCCAGGCACAGTGGCTCATGGCTATAATCCCAGCACTTTGGAAGGCCAAGATGGGCTGATGCCTGAGCTCCGTAGTTCAAGACCAGCCTGGCCAACATGGTTAAACCTTGTCTCTACTAAAGTTTAAAAAAAAAATTAGCCAGGTGTGGTGGCATGCACCTGGAATCCCAGCTACTCAGGAGGCTGAGGCATGAGAACTGCTTGAGACCCTGAGATGAAGGTTGCAGTGAGCCGAGACTGAGCCACCGCACATCAGCTTGGGCTACAGAGTTAGACTCCATCTAAAAAAAAAAAAAAAAAAATCCACATCTAACCTCAATACAAAAGTGAAAGACTGGAAGCTTCCTACTAAGGTCAGGAATGAGGCAAGAATGCTCACTTTGCACTGCTGTTCCACCTTGCACTGGAAGTCCTAGCCAAAGCAATTAAGAAAAACAAAAGGAAAAAAAAAAAAAAGAAGGAAGAAGGAGGAGAGAGGAGGAAGGAGGAAGGTGGGAAAAGGGAAGAGGAAGCAAAATAAGAGGGAGGAGAAGAAGGAGGAAGCGGGAGGAGGAGGAGGAGGAGATGAAAAAAGGCATACAAATTGGAAAGCTTCCAGAAAGTGAAATGCAGTTGCAGAAATAAACCCAGACATCCACAGCCAATGGATTGTTGACACGAGTGTCAAAACCACGTTAGGTAGTAAAGAATAGTCTCTTTAACAATGGTGCTGGGACAACTGGATAACGATATATAAGTGAATAAAGTTAGACTCCTGCTTCTCCACATAGAAAAATTAACTCCTAATGGACCTAAGTCCTAACTCTTAACACCTTGAACTATAAAACTAAACACAGGAATAAATCCTCATGACTTTGATATGGCAATGGATTCTTAGATTTGACACCAAAAGCATGAGCAACAACAACAACAAAATATTTAAATTGGACTTCACGGCTGGGCGTGGTGGCTCACACCTATAATCCCAGAACTTTGGGAGGCCAAAGTGGGCAGATCACCTGAGGTCGAGAGTTCGAGACCAACCTGACCAACATGGAGAAACCCCACCTCTACTAAAAATACAAAATTAGCCAGGCATAGTGGCACATGCCTGTAATCTCAGCTACTTGGGAAGCTGAGGCAGGAGAATCGCTTGAACCTGGGAGGCAGAGGTTGCGGTAAGCCAAGACTGCCCCATCGCACTCCAGCCTGGGCAACAAGAGTGAAACTCTGTCTCAAAAAAAAAAATTTGGACTTCATAAAAATGAAAACCTTTGTTCATCAAAAGATATTATCAAGAGAGTGAAAAGACAACCTACAGAGTGTCAAAAAAATTGCAATCACATATCTGATAATGGTTTCGTATCAAGAATATATAAATAACTCATATAACTCAACAACAAAAAGACAAGTCAATTTTTTGACAATGGACAATGAATTTGAACAGATGTTTCTACAGGAAGAGATGCAAATGGGCAACAAACATTTGAAAAGATGTTCAGATTCACTGGTCACACTGAAAATGCACACTGAAACCAAAATTTGACATATCACTTGACATCTAATAGGATGGCTACAATTTTTTCTTCTTAATGGAAAATAACAAGTGGTGATGAGGATGTGAAGAAATAACTCTTGTGCATTGCTAGTGGGCATATAAAATAAGGCTGGGCACAGTGGCTCACACCTATAATCCCAGCACTTCAGGAAGCAGAGGTGGGAGAATGGCTTGAGCCCAGGAGTTCAAGACAAGCCTGGGCAACACAGTGAGACCCCATCTCTACCAAAAAATCAAAAATCAGATGCAGTGGTGTGTGCCTGTAGTCCCAGCTACTCGGGAGGTTCAAGTGGGAGGACTGCTAGAGCCTAGAAGGTGTAGGCTGCAGTGAGCTGCAGTGTGCCACTATACTTTAGCCTGGGTGACAGAGCGAAACTGTCTCAAAAAATAAAAAAAGGAAAAGAGGGCTGGGCGCAGTGGCTCGCACCTGTAATTCCAGCACTTTGGGAGGCCGAGGTGAGCATATCACGAGGTCAGGAGTTTGAGACCAGCCTGGCCAACATGGTGAAACCCCATCTCTACTGAAAATACAAAAATCAGCCATGTGGGATTACAGGCACCTGTAATCCCAGCTACTCAGGAGGCTGAGACAGGAGAATTGCTTGAAACCAGAAGGCGGAGGTTGCAGTGAGCCGAGACTGCGCCACTGCACTCCAGCCTGGGCGACAGAGCAAAACTTCATCCCCTCCCTCCAGAAAAGAGAGGGGAGGTGAAGGGTGAAAAGGGGAAGAAAGGGGAGGGACAAAATGATAAAATGTTACTACTGTTGTGGAAAATAGTTTGACAGTTCCTCAAGAAGTTAAGCATAAAATGACCACATGAATCAGCAATTCCACTCTTAGGTATACATAACAGAGAAATGAAACCATATGTCCACACAAAAACTTGTATATAAATACTCATAGCAGCATTATTTACAACAGCCAAACGGTGAAAACAACCCAAATGTCTATCTATAGACAAACAGAGAAACAAGATGCAGTCTACACATGATGGCCTATTATTCAGCTTCAAAAGAGCATGTGAACCTCAAAAACACTATTCTAAGTTAAAGAAGCCAGACAGAAAAGGACACATCCTGTACAGTTCCTGAAATATCCAAAATAGACAAGTCTATAGAGACAGAAAGCAGATCAGAGGTTTCTAGGGAGTGAGGGGAGGGTGGAATGGGGAATGGTTACTTAAAGGATGTAAAAGTATTGGAAATGAAAAGAGGTGGTGATTGTACAACACTGTGAATGAACTAAATTCCACTGAATTCACTCTGTAAAAGGTTAACCGTATGTTATATTAACATCAACTCAATTTTTAAAAAGGCAATTAAGAGGAAATTATACATTCTTTGCCAATAAATTTGAAGAATCAGAAGAAATGGAAACACTCTTGGAAAACACAACTTACCAAACTGATATCAGAACAGTTACACAGTCAGCTCTCTGTATCTGCAAGTTCCGTATCTACAGATTCAATGAACAATGGATCACAGATATTTGGAAAAAATAAAAATAATACAACAATATAAAATAATACATAATTTTTAAAAGGTAGTATTGACAACTATTTACCATAGCATTGTATTAGGTATCATAAGTAACCTAGAGATGAATTAAAGTATATGAGGATATGCGTAGGTAATATGCAACTACTATGACTTTTTATGTAAAAACTTGAGCATTTGTAGATTTTGATACCCTCTAGGGGTCCTGGAACCAATACCTCATGGTACCGAGGGACAAGTGTATTATTTGCCTCTTACTGAAACACAACCCATAATTTGAAATCATCCCTGTTACCAATGGAAAAAGTGGCATGGTTTCCCAGTCCCTTCTCTAGGACACTTGCAGTGTGACTGGGCAATTGAGAAATGGTTTGAGAGGTCTTAGAGCCTCTAGGGAGGCTGACAGTAAAGGTCTTCCCTGAATGAAGCCAGTCTGTAAATAATGGGAGAGAGAGTTGTTTCAAATGCCCTAATCTCAACAGAACATCACAAGGCACATGAAGAAATGGGGAAATGTGGCCTGATCAAAGAATCAAATAAAATGAAAGAAATCAACTCTAAAGAAACACAAATTTACAAACCACGTATCTGCTACAGAGTTAATATTCATAATATGTAAAGAACTCCTACTGCTTAACAACAAAACATTAAATAACCCAATTAAAAATGGATAAAATGTTTGAACAGACATTTCCCCAAAGATGATACATAAATGGACAACAAGCATATGAGAAGATGCTCAATACCACCAATCATCAGAGAAATGCAAATCAAAACCATAATGAGTTACCATTTCATATTTAATAGAATGGCTACTACTAAAAAGAAACCCAGAAAATAGCAAGTGTTGGTGAGCTGTGGAAAAGTGGAACCTTTGTGCAGTACTGGTAGGAATGTAAAATGGTGCAGCTGCTATGGAATAACAGTATGGCGGGTTCCTGAAAAATTAAAAATACAACTCCCATATACAATTCAGCAATTCCACTTCTGAGCATATACGAAAGAACTGAAAGCAATAACTCAAAGAGATATCTGCACATCGTGTTCACTGCAGCACTATTTACAATAGCCAAGAAGTGAAAGCAACCCAAACTGATCAACAGATGAATGGATAAAGCAAATGTGGTACAGACATACAATGAAATACTACGCAGCCTTAAAAAGGAAAGATGTCCTATCACAATGAAAAAAAAAATCAATTCCAGACAGGTTACAGACCTAAAGAGAAAGGTAAAACAATCCAGTTTTTATTAGGTAACATAGGAGAATATATTCAAGGACTTTAATTAGGAAAAAGACTTATTAAATGTTATACCAAAAGCACTGGACATGAAGGAAAAAATTACTAAATTAGGCATTAAAATTAATTTCTATTCTTCAAACGACAGCCTTAAGAGAGAAAAAAGGCAAGACAAATGGGAGAAGTTATTTGAAAGACATATAAACAGTATATATCAAAACATGTAACTAATTTCTAAAAAATAAGCAAACGATTCAAAAGAAAACGATTAAAAAAAAAAAAAAAAAAAAAGCAAACGATTAAAAAAAAAACCAGCCAGAAAACCTGAACTGGCACTTCACAACATAGTTTACTGGCCAATGACATATGAAAAGGTATTCAGTCTCAGTTATTTAGGAAACACAAATTTAAACCAGAACGAGACATCAAGACACAACAGGAAGAAAACTACAATTTGAGACGAAACTGTACAAGGTGTTAGCAATGTAGAACTACAGTTCTTACAAATGTGCTGGTTAGAGAGTAAACAAGGACCTCACTCTGGAAAACTCTCTGGCACTCTCTCTCCCGTTGCACCTACAGATACCATCTGACCTGTTATTTTCAATCTCTGATGGAAAAGTTTATTAACTCAGCACACTTGGTTACACATTCCCAAGACAGGCCTGTTTTCAGGACTGGCTCTTGGCTGTCTCTTATCATGGAATGTTATGTCTGATAAGAGATGTTTTGTGTGTCTGAGGCCTTGGGTCATGCTGTACCAGTTTAAGCAGATAGTGTATGCTAACAATGTGATTTATGGTGGACATTTGCTTTTTCTCTGGGGGTCTGGAGCTGACCCTGAAGTCAGTTGTGCAGGTACTACCAAATGCCTATGTCATGACTGACCCTACTAAAAACCCTGGACACAAAAGCTCAGGTGAGCTTCCCTGACTGGAAACTCTTTGTGTGTACTGTCACACATGTTGCTAGGGAAGGGAAACATGTCCTGTCTGACTCCACTAGGAGGGCACATTGGAAAGGGAGGAGCTGCTTTCTTCCAGACTTTCGCCATGTGCCTTTTCCCTTTGTTGATTTTTACTTCATATCCTTTTGCTGTAATCAACTATAATCATAATAGCTTCTGATTACTACGAGTGGTCTTGGGGGTTCCCAATATAACTCCCAGGCATATTCCCAACAAAAAATCATTATTCATGTTCACAAAATGATATGTACAAAGATACTGTGTATCAACATTAAAACAAGGCCAAACTAGAAAAAAAAACCTCCAAATAGTTATGTAATTATAGCATAATATTAAATAACAAAAATGAACAAACTACTGCTACATGGAACAGCATGAATCTTACAAATGTTAAAAGAAAGAAACCAGACACAAATCAACACTGTCAATGCTCCCAGCCAAAGGCTACCAGGAACAGAGCTGTAGTTGAACATGCTGGGTTCATTATTCATTTCAGCAAGGGATAACACATACAACTGGGAACTGTGGAATGTCTCAGTAAAAGAGTATTCGAAAAGACTATTATACGATTCAGGTTTTGGTTAGGTGATTCTGGGTTTGTTCTGGGTTGGTGCTACCAGGAAGCAGGAATGATTTTTGATTCAGGACACAGATTATCTTTGGATAAAAGTAAAGAAGAGGAGGGAATAATTTGGAGGGTTAGTAGGGGAGCATCCAGAGTACTGCTATGACTCCTTGGAAAGAAAAGTAAGTATTTCTGGGATGACAAGTGATGGGAAAGCAGAAAGGTATTAGCAGTAGTTTGCATGCTCCACCCGATGATGAAACATGATCAATGGAATTTCACTACAAGATGAAGCTTGCTATGCTCACTTGCCCATCAAGTCAATATTTAAGAGAACGTGTAACTTGTTGAAATTCAAAATATATTAGGTGAAAAATATATAAAGCATTTGCATGAGGTCCACTGGCACTTATTCAGGCTTTCAAATCTCAAAACTGTATCTGGACAATGCAACACTGAACTTTTATCAAATTCAGCTACTTTGATTCAGTAACAAAGGAGGGTATCAGAACATTTAGGGATGATATCTATCTTCTCTCTAAGAAAACAAGTACAAATATACTTTAGCTTTCATTTCTGATTTTCAGCCTGGAGCAGTGGCACACTGATCCACTGCTGCGTTATCTACAAACTTCCCTGTCAACCATTATTAAGGCTCACTGCAGGGTCAGGGTCTGAGATCTCACTGAAGCTCTTTCATTGGCAAATCAATACATCGATTCTTTACTTGTTTTCTGACTCAAGTCTGCTGTTAGAATGTAATGCACTTATTCTCTTTAAATTATCATGTGAATTCTCTTAAGTTCCTCTTACATTCAGATCTTTTCCAAAAGCTGGAGATCACATAATTCAAACGTCCACTTAGCTACACAGGGGTCAGGCTGAGAGCTTGTTTCTCAGTCCAACATCCTGGGGTAATCATCCACCTACACCTGGCTCAGCTGCACTGGCCAAGAATAACAGTGCATCTGCACTTTTCTAAGCACATTTCTGACATCTTGCCAATGCTTTGTAACACACACATGCTCATTCACACAATCTTAGGGACTAAGTCTCTTTGTCTCTGTATCCTCTACCCCTATTATGTGTCAGGCACATAGCAGGTGCTCGTATGCATAGGCCATTTTGCCTTTGATTTCAGCATAACATATTAAAAAGACTGGGTTTTGGATTCAAAAGTATAGATTTGTGACATAGTGTACTTACTGGTTATGTGACCTTAATTCAGTTACCTTCTTTGAAACTCTTTCCTTCTCTATAAAACCTAATACTTGATTGGATTAATGAAATAAGGTATTTGTGAACAGGACTCCGTAAATTACAAAAAGTTAAAAACAGCCAGGCGCGGTGGCTCAAGCCTGTGATCCTAGCACTTTGGGAGGCTAAGGTGGGTGGATCACCTGAGGTCAGGAGTTCAAGACCAGCCTGGCCAACATGGTAAAACCCCAGCTTAAAAAGAAAAGTTAAAAAGTTTTACATACAGTGTACTGTGTGACTAGTAGGTACTGCTGTATCTTACTAGCAGGATTTTCGTAGCAGCGTTGACACATATCTGCTAAAAATATAAAGTTCCCCACAGTTACAAGCAGCATGATAGGTTTAGGAAGAGGAGGTAGATGAGAGGTAACATCTTCTTATTTATGTAATTTTGGGCTCCAGAAGTTTATTTTTTTAAGCACCATATATGTTTGTGTTTCAAGACAAACATAAGGCATCATATATTTAAACATAACCATAATGCTCGTATTTGTAAATCATCTTCCAAGAAAGAATAAATCAAAATTTGAAATTCAAAAAAAAAAAAAGAAAACAAGTACAACTGGCTGATAATAAAAATCTAAAAGTTGTTCAACTGCTGAAACACTTCAGATCAATGTTTGATGTTTTAAAAGGAACAAAAGTATTTTTTAAAAGTAGCAGGCAGGCTAAAAATAACAAAAAATATAATTTTTAAAATTAAAACACATAATGTTAAAGAGCAGATGAAACAGAGGAAGAAAGAATGAGTGAATCACTCGACAACTGATCTAAAGAAATTAGCAGACAGAGAGAAAAAGGCAGAAAACCTGAAAGAGTTGTTAAAATATCTGGAGGACAGAATGCGGTATTTTAACATTGAACTAACTGGAGTTCAAAGGACAAAACAGAGAATGGAGTAGAAATATTCAAAAAAAAAAGGCCAATAAT